CAATCATCAATGTCTAGCCAATACTCAGGAAACTTAAACCCAAGCAGTAAAATTGACAAAGATGTAAGACGCGCAATCAGTATATGCCTTCAAGAACCGACAATCGTGCAAAACATTTGATCAGTAGATATTTTCCAAAAGTGTCAACGACGTAGGATGTCCTATCTGTATGGAATGCTAAAAATAACTGACAGTGGTGCAATATGTCTGATCGGTATAAGACACAAATCGGTACTCAACGTCGAGCATCACTAAAGTCCATGCCTCCTAACTCAGCACAGGTTAAGTTGTTGAGGTAGTTCCCTACTAATTAGCGATAAGATCCCTCAATGAGTGGTGCGTGCAAATCATTCCAGCAGCAAGTTTCGATGATTATCCTAGCAAAGGTAGCTACAAGAACTGTAAAATACATCAGGCGAGAGGTGCGGCCCATCCAAGGCATGAACCTGACCAAGCAAATGAGACATAAGAAGTATGAGACTTGAGTTGAGACATAAAAACATAAAAATGACCAAAAGTCTTTCTTAAGAAACTGAAGCATCAACCACAACAAGCATTCACCATAATTAAAAAAAATATATGATAAAGGGTCTTAAAGAGCTTCGAAGAATACTTAAGAGCCATCCAAACAAAACGCAAAGGAGAAAGTAGAGAAAATGAGAGAAAGAGGCGAAAAAGAGTCAAAGAGCACGATGCCAAAAAACCAACCCTCTGCCCTTTATATAGTGCACCAGAGGAAGCAAAATCGTCTCAAGATCACACCTCGATTTCGAAAAATCACATTACATCAACTCAACATTCGAAAGAGATAATTATGGAAATTAAATTTATGGAAAATAATAAGAGCATAATTTTATTCAGACATAAAATATTTTACAAGAGATTCATTCACCACTTCAGTCGAGATGAGTCATCGTTGAAGCAACTTCTATTAAAAAATATTTCTGTCAAACCTAAATCTATCTACATTATCCACTTCGACCTAGAACCGGAGCATCAAGCAAGTCTCCCGAACGTTCATCGCTCAGATTGAAGAGTCAACATGTTCTCTGAAAGCCCAAACCTAAAGGTTGTGAATTCTGCACCCAACTTTTTAATTTCTTCATCTTGCTATATCTCGACTGCATGAGTGAATGAGTCATCCATTTTGTCCAGGTGGCAGGCCAGCGACCTAGTGGATTTCCACCATCCATCGATCACCTCCTCAGAGATTCCTTGGAAGCTAGTTGGGCGATCGATCACGTTCCAAATATTTATTCAAACAAAAAATATATTATAAGAAATTCATTCACCACTTCAGCTGAAACAAGTCATTGTTGAAGCAGCTTCTAATGCACAATATTTTCGTCAAACCTATATCTATCTACACTACCCACTTCGACTGGAACCGAAGCATCGAGCAAGTCTCCCAAACGTTCATTGGCTCTGGCTGACGAGTTGTCAGGTCCTCTGAAAGCCCAAACCTAAGGGTTGTCAATTCCGCCCGTAGTTCCTTTATATTTATCCTAATTGCCTGAGCGAATGAGTCATCCATTTCGTCCAAGTGGCGAGCCAGTGACCTGGTGGATTTCCACCACCCATCAGTCACCTCTTCACAGATTCCTCGGAAGTTGGTTAGGCGATCGATCACGTTACCCTCGCTCATGGCTGGCACTAGCGTTCTCTGAACCAGTCCTGAGGGTGGGCCCTTGCCATCGCTCCCAAGAGGAGAGTCGGCAAGCTCTAATGCCTCTCCTGCATCAAAAAATAGTGTCAATGAAGATAGAAAGTAGTCTTCCTAACCACAGAGAACGGGTGTCCTTGTACTAAGGAGCTGATCCACCTCAGACCACCAAAGTGACACACGGCTCTCACCATGTGGCAATGGAGTGCTCATAGTCCCCTGCTCATAAGTTATCAACGCACAGTCAGCAGCTCCCTATGTCTTGGACAAAGGGGCTTCAGTGTCTTCCCATGCATGAAGATCGCCCAACTAGCCATGAGTCTCAGTGGGAGGTTGGGTTAATGTGTCAATAGTTGGGTCGAAAAACCTAATTCCTTCCACCTAATCTTTCCCTTGTGGAAGATCTTGAAGTGAGTAGGATGCCCAACTTTATTTATCGACTCGCCCGCCCTCCGCTTCTTATAGGCAAGTTGCTTAGTCGCCTTTTGCCCCTTGGACAACTTCCTCCATCTGGCCACTTCTTCCTCTTAGGCCTCTTTTTGCTCTGTGGTTTCTTCTTCACCTTAGGGAGAGCTCGCGACGCAGGCAATCCAAGCCCTCCTCACCATACCCTCACTTGGGATATCATCTGAAGTTTCCTTGGCGCTCACCATGGATATGTTCTGAGAGCTAATTATTCAAGGAAAGAAGATGCGAGAATAAATGAATACCAAAGGTGTCAATCAAGCCCTATTTATAGGAATCATTGACACAAAAACCCTGAGAGTGCAATTATTAAAGTATAAATTATAAAATAAATGAATCTACTTTTGCATTTAATTCTCTTATTCTTATAGAAGTTGTCACTTTCAACAAATAAGAGAATCGAGGAAACAACTACATCTAAAATGCGTCAGCATGAATATCGAGGAGATCCAAAAGACTAAGAGACGGAGAAGTATGGCTAGGAGGGTCGAGGACCCACCGGTGGAAGACCAAGGGGCCCGCTGGCATAAGACCAAATTACCTACTAGTGGAAGACCATGGGAACAATTTGATTAAGTGTGATTCCCCTAAACCGAGGCTAGATAATGATCGGATACAAGTCATCAAATCTAAAGGCCAAAGCCAATCAAACCGAGCAGAGGCATCGACATACCTCTCGTCACAACCTAATTCAAGGGAAAAGTTCAGCACCGCCAATCACCTCACAGACGCCCTCCGAGATTCTTCAGGGAGAGCCAAGGATCGATAATGCTGAGATCCAAGAACATGTTGAAAGACCCTCTCATCGAAGTATGAGATACCTACCGAATTACAATGATTCACTCTCTGTCTGATAATCTAGCATCAACCTGCTAACTAAAGCTCTTTATCCAAGGAATAGAAATCAACAGACGGAGTGGAATAGTTGGGCGGGGAAACCAAGCCGACTGAGTCAAATCGTGCTAGCCCAAAAGGTCAACCGATAATATTGACTAAGCGTACCCGATCGAGCATTCCTTGTCAAACCAAGGTCAGCTAATCGAGCCAAAAGATAACTGAACAATAGGCTTATACTTATAAAATACCCAAAATATTGTGTAGCACCCCCATTAAAGCAGAGGCAATCATGTAATTACACATATTGTGCCTCCATCTATAAATAGATGAATTATTTTATGAGAAATGACTAATTAACATTTTATATTATTGTTAATTTACCTCTCTTTCTCTCTCCCCCTTTTTTATGTTTTATGCTCTATTTTTTGGGTGTGTTCCACGAACAATTTTGAATTCAAAAGTTACCAAGACAACTAACCATAATTTAGCCGGTCAAAATGTGCAAAAACTTATATGACCTTTTAAATTGTTTATTGTCAAGTAAATTTTTGCATGTTGTTAAAGTACCAATTTTTTTCAGATTAAATAACCTCAGCCTATTATAGGTTCATCAATATATATATTTTACATAAAAAAAAAATTATTTAGTGAATTGGGGATAAGACATTTTGCAAGCCTAAGATATAGTATTCTTCATTAAAAATGAAAATTAGATCATAATTGAAAATTGCATGAATTGTGTGCCATTGAAGAAGAATTCTAAGAAAATAAACCAGGCACAAAAAGTTAATTGCACTTTATGGAGAGATGCATTCCAAGATGACAATTTGCGACACTTGGCTCATTTTATTATAGCCCAAACAAAACGAGGAATGGTGAGTTGTTGTTTACAACGTTGAACTAAAATTATTGAAAATTAAAAAGCATTTTTTTTCTTTCTTTTTCATGAAGGAGATTCAATTCGATTAATAGCTGATATAACATGGTGTAATAGTTTTATAGTCAATAAGATTAAAATAACAGTTTGAAATAAAATGAAATAAAAATAGAAATTGCTTGCCTCTTCTTGCGCAAGAGACCTCAAATAATCACTATATGTCCTGTGTGTAGTCTGTACAAATAGTAAATGTAAGCTTATTCATTGAATGATTGGATAATGCATGCTTAAGATATAGTATTCTTCATTAAAAATGAAAATTAGATCATAATTGGATAATGCATGAATTTTGTGCCATTGAAGAAGAATTCTAAAAAAATAAACCAGGCACAAAAAGTTAACTGCACTTTATGGAGAGATGCATTCCATGATGACAATTTTCGACACTTGGCTCATTTTATTATAGCCCAAACAAAACGAGGAATGACGAGTTGTTGCTTACAACGTTGAACTAAAATTATTGAAAATTAAAAAGCATTTTTTTTCTTTCTTTTTCATGAAGGAGATTCAATTCGATTAATAGTAGATATAACATGGTGTAATAGTTTTATAGTCAACAAGATTAAAATAACTGTTTGAAATAAAATGAAATAAAAATAGAAATTGCTTGCCTCTTCTTGCGCAAGAGACCTCAAATAATCACTATATGTCCTGTGTGTAGTCTGTACAAATAGTAAATGTAAGCTTATTCATTGAATGATTGGATAATGCATGCTTAAGATATAGTATTCTTCATTAAAAATGAAAATTAGATCATAATTGGATAATGCATGAATTTTGTGCCATTGAAGAAGAATTCTAAAAAAATAAACCAGGCACAAAAAGTTAACTGCACTTTATGGAGAGATGCATTCCATGATGACAATTTTCGACACTTGGCTCATTTTATTATAGCCCAAACAAAACGAGGAATGACGAGTTGTTGCTTACAACGTTGAACTAAAATTATTGAAAATTAAAAAGCATTTTTTTCTTTCTTTTTCATGAAGGAGATTCAATTCGATTAATAGTAGATATAACATGGTGTAATAGTTTTATAGTCAACAAGATTAAAATAACTGTTTGAAATAAAATGAAATAAAAATAGAAATTGCTTGCCTCTTCTTGCGCAAGAGACCTCAAATAATCACTATATGTCGTGTATGTAGTCTGGACAAATAGTAAATGTAAGCTTAGTGATTGAATGATTGAAGTAGTTCAAAATAGAGATAAACAAACTGAAAGAAGTCAAAAAGTCGAATACAGCAAATATATATTTATGCCATTTTCATGATCGAATTCACATGGAAAAAGAAAATTCAGCAAGTTCAAAAATAGAAAGCCTTCTTAGTTTTAGAACTTGCAATCGTACGAGTAGACGGAAAGAGAATATTTATCATTGTTTAGAGATCGCGACATCAGAGCTCAATTTTGCATTTACAAAGCTCCGTTCCACCCGCAAAAACGATGTCGTAATTTGCTTCTTACAATCAACTACTCATTGAATTAATTTATTAGATTATTTCTTCGAGGTGTATAAGAAGCCGTAATTTTCTTCTGAAAGAACTCTCGCACGTCATTAAAAGGATTAAAGAAAATTATAAATAAGTAAATTTGTCTAAGATCTTGAAACTTATACTATTTTCAAAGGCACCCGTCAATGATGAATGATGAGAAAATAAATTATGCATTAATTTACTGGAATAAGATTAGCTTTTAAGAAATTTTGGATGATATTTATGTGAATCTCTTTTTTTCTTTCTCTAAAAATTAATACAAAAATTGAGATTTTTTATGTATTAAAAAAGGATATTTTTGTCTCTAATATGAAAAAGTTTGTGAGCATAATCAAAGAGATATAAAAGAGCTTCCTTGTTCAAAAAGCGCAAACAAAACAATTTATCCAAACTGAGACTTCAACTTTAAAAAGATCAACTTTAAAACACCAATTTTTTCAAAAGCTCCCTTTAAATAAACTTTTTAGAAAAGAAGAAGCTTAGCCAAACAAAGCCTTAGTTGTAAAACCAGTGATTTTCCAATGACACGAAGGGTTAGAGAGGTGAGAAAGAAGAAGAAAATGAGATGGCATAAGAAAAATTTTATCCACCACATTTTGAGAGTGCAAAGTACTATAAGTTTCATGTGTCAAAATATCCCCTCTTGTATCTCATTTTTAAAGCTCCAAGTACTATAGAGACAACTATAAAATAAAATTATCCATGAAAGGTGTATTTCACTTTTAAGAAATGTAAAAGGTGGTATTTTAATGCTATATTAGAGATTTGAGTGTTATGTGTTTAATTATGAAAGTTTAGGGGTAAGATATATAAATATGTAAGAATTGTGAGCTATGTAGGTAAATTTCCAAAATAAATACATGATTGGACCGTTGCAAGCATGTGGACACCGTGAATGAGATCTTGGAAGGCACGAATGAAGGTTGTCTTAATGTTATCTCAGAGACTTCTAGAACCAAGTAGTCAAGGTCGTTGAATAATTGGATGAAGTCACCAGGCTTATTATATAACACGAACGAGTGCCTATAAAGTTGGATCAAGAGGGCTTCAAGCTAGGGTGAACACCTTCTATGGAGAACCAAGTGCTTCTAAGGAAGGTAAGTTTCCATTAATCTAACAAGCTCTCTTTAATTAGGCAAGTGCTTGTGAATTGGGCAATCATCTTTGAGCTAGGTTGATGGTACCTTGACTTGGGTAAATTACATTTCATCATTTTCCCAAAATGTGCATTTTCGATGTACACATCTTCTTCAAACAAAAAGAGAGATGTCAGTATATAATTATTAAGGTGTTTGCATAGGAACTTGACTTATCATTGGGGAAATCAAACAAAAATTAAAAGGTGGGCCAAGTGGCCAAGAGACGCCCATTAGAGTTTAAGGTGCCAATCAAAATCCAACAAAGAGATGTTCAGCCAAATGCATTCCAATAAGTTCCCCATTTTCTCCTTTTTAGAGTTCGGAAAAGATCCCCAAATGTATGACGATCTACCAGACAAAATCCAACGAAGATATGGAAATTTCTACCAAATTTCTAAACTCTCGTCTCTTAATTTAAGGCTTTCATTCTCCTAAATAAATTGACCTATCAGCTTATTTCTATATTACAATAGTTAATTTAGGAACCCTGAGACTGAAAAGTTGAGAAAATCATTCATAAGATTTTATTGAAATTTTTGTACAATTTAACATGATGAACTTTTCATATGACCTTTTAAATTGTTTATCGTTACGTCAAATTGGTAATGTTGTTAAGGCACAAATTCTTTTAAATCGAGTCACTTTAACCTATTACAGGTCCATGCTTTAGATAAAAAAAAAGATTATGTTTTATAATTGGGGATAGGATTTTGTGCAAACCTAGTAATCATAAATTTCAACAATGTTTCATGCTTCACATAGCTTTCTAAAAAACACAAATGAACAATGCATTAAATATTTAAATTGAAACAAACAAATTGAATGCTTAAATGTTCCTATGTCTATGTATATATTTGAAATACATTCAAATTGAGTTTCCACTATTAAAAATGAGTCTCATAAGTAGCTTCTTCAATTTTTTTTAACCCTTAATGAAAAGTGTAATATATCAATTGACCCATGACAGCATCTTAATTAATCATTTAAAATTTTATCAAGCGGAATAGTTCCAAATGAAATTTCAACCATTGTCTCAAAGGCATCAACATGGATAAGAGTTAAACTTCATTCGACTTGTGGAATTTCAAAACTCCATCCAATAAAGCAGTTAAGAAGCTGTTTGGAATCACGTTTATTTTATATTTGCAGCCATGAAAGGGGCTCTTAAATTTCATTTTCAAAATACACGCTGATCTATATATTGAAAAATGAAATATCTCAAAAATTAACAAATTTATCCAAGTTAAATAGAATGAAAATAAAAACCAGTCAAAATAAATAAATTTCTATAGGGCTAAATGCAGTCTACATAAGACTATAGCAAAGGTCTTATTCCGACAATCATGGAAATTCTTTTATTGTCTCCATCAATCAGCCAATGTGATTCCTTTAAACTTACTGGATAAATTTGAAGGGAAAGAAATGGCATCATGAAATGTAGAAACTTGTCAATTTCGCTTCTCTCAAATTCTTAGCATTCACTATTGCCCAGTTTTCAATATTGTCCAATGAAAATAAAGAAAAGATAAAACTAGAAAAAGTCGAATAAAGCGCCGATCATGAATGAAAATAATAAAAAAATATTGACAAAGATCTTGCGAACCGCTTTGTTGTTCAAGAATGTAATCATAATAAATAGCTAATTGACAAAAATGAGCCATAGCATTACTTATTAACGATTGAGTATAATTGAATTGGATTTCAAGAAAGTGGTAAAGACGATATTCTTGCCTTGAGCATTTCGGATAAATTCTGGCTACAAACATCCGCATTATAAACCATGCACTGAGAGTTAAAAAAATACGAGGAAAATCATTCAAATCGCTCGGAAATTATGTCGGGAACAATAAATCATATCAATAAACAGATGGAAATATATCGCTTACCATGGGCTGGTCAACGCTATCCGATTGAAACCCAGTGAGATACGGAGGGTTGTAAGTCTCGATTATTGATTGTTCGTCGGATACTGCTTCTACGTCGGATGACGATGAATCAGCCGAAATTTTCTAAAATCAATTCAGCAGAAAAAAAGAAAAAAAAAAAGAAATAGAAAGAATCACTATCGATCTTTCAGAAAGGGTATTACAGATCAAAACAGAATTAGAAAAACCGAAAAACTGGAAGGGGTGGAAGAAAAGGGGCGACTGAGGGGATTTGATCGCTTGCCTTCTTCAAGGCAGGCAGAGCTGAAGCACCGGTTCTCCGGCGGATGAAAATACGAGCTAATTCCTCCGCTGACTTCCGGTGGATATCTGCTTTACGGGTAGCGCCTCTCCTCTTCGCCGCTCCCAGTAGCTTTCCTTCCACCATGGAAGTGCTGGAGAAGGAAGGTTTTCGAGGAGCTAAAGCACCGGTTCTCCGGCGGATGAAAATGCGAGCTAATTCCTCCGCTGACTGCCGGTGGATATCTGCTTTACGGGCGGCGCCTCTCCTCTTCGCCGCTCGCGGTAGCTTTCGTATCGCCATGGAAGTGCTGCCGAAGGAAGGTTTTCGCGCGCAACGGACTAGGCGGGAGAATTGGGAGAATATTTGTTATTACTAACTCCTTACAACTTCTTGATTTTTGGGGGAACCCGGAATTTTACATGCAAACCTCACAATCCTTTTGTATTTAGATATCCAACCCCGAAACTTTCAAATTAACATCTATCACATTTAAGTATCATAAAAGCTCGGCATGAAATCTCATATTTCACTCTCAAGTAATAGCGTTATTCTTTTAATTATAT